TTAATCATTTCTACCAATTGTTGATATGATATCCTCTCCGGAATAAACAATGACCCATCCGGACGATCTTTAAATAAAACAAATTCACTTAACCTTTCTGTCGCAAAATGCCAGTACAAATTAACAAAATATGGACCGGAAAATGCCATTAATACCTGTTGCAAAAAGACACTTTCAATTCTTCACAATTACAACAACACATGGTGTCTAATATCTAATCCAACACCAAAAAAATTCAATTATTTCGGATAAATTTGAAAGCCCCAATTCTAACCCTAATTTCGAAAACCCTAAGCCCAACAACAACCAACAAATACACAATTAACAATTTATAACAAAATTCCAATCTCCAATTCAACATATACACATATTCGATAAACAATTAACAATTCCTAATGTCCAAAACAACACCACATTCAAACATATTATAACAATTCCAATTTTCCAAACAACTCCAAACAATGTAAAAAGTTAAGATAAATCAATATACCTTGTGCGAATGAATTAACCGGAAATGAGACTCGTGTCGTTGTTGTCGATTTGGTTCGGGTAGGATTGGATCGTGTTTTCTTTTTTTCACCGGAGTCGCTCGCCGCTCGCAGAAGAAGAAAAAATTTTTTCGCCCTCCCAGAAATGAGATGCGCAAATGAGGGAGAAGAGAGATTTTTTTTTTTATATTTTATAGTAAAACGTATTCTGAGAATACGTTTTACTATGAATTATTTGTAAAACGTATTCGTATAATACATTTTTAGTTTTTAATTTTTTTATTGGTAAATTTAAATTTATAAACGTATTTCGAAAATACGTTTTATAGTTACTATTATTTAATTCTATTCCACTATTAAACGGAAATATATTTTTTTTTATTTTTAAAAAAAATTAGTAAAACGTATTACGAGAATACGTTTTTTAATAAATTTTTATTAGAAAAACGTATTCTAAGAATACGTGCTTTTGATTTTTTTCCACTTCTTTTTTTTTTTTTTGTTTTTGTCCACATATTTTTTTTTGTTTTGTAATAAATAAANCCCTCTTATTGAGGATGCAACAATTTGTTTAGGGATTAATCTCACAGACGAGAGGCTACTAAGTTCCCACTTCTCTTTGATACGGCTATTTTGTGGTGGCACCCACGACGGATAGACACGTGGGAGGACATTGTCTAAGATCTGAAGCAGCATTTCTAGGTAAAGACTGTTTCCTTTACTTTTCTGATAGTGTTATGTTGTGTTGGGAGGGTGAAGTGTCCGAAGCCGATAGGCTACAATGGCATGACAACTTCTTATGGAGGATGCAACAATATTTTACGGACATAAATCTCACAAACGAGGCTACTCAAGTCCAATTTCTCTCTTTGATACTTTGATACTGCTATGCTGTGTAGCACCGAAAGCAAGTTGACAATGAACAGGGCCAGTGGGAGGACTTTGTCTAAAAGCTCAAGCAACATTTCTAGGTCAAGACCGCTTACTTTTACCTTTCTGATACTGTATGTTGCAGTAGCGCAGAAAGTACGACTACAAAGCGGGCCGTGTCTGGACCGTGTCGGATAGACACGTGGACAAAAAGGTCCACATGCCACTATATATCAAAGAATTTACCTGAGGTAACTAAAACAAAAAGGTCCACATACATTTTCCGATTTACCACCATTTTCCCGACTATATCAAAGAATTTACCACCATTGAGCACTGTGAGACCGACTATTTTTCCCTAATTTTTCACACTGAGGCAGACTTCATTAGTTAGTTCTGTTTATCCAATGAGAACTCAATAAAATCTCCGCCCATTTACAAAGTCTTGGAAATATATAAACATGCTACTTACTCTACACAGAGCACACAGCCACCACAGTTCCCCATGTACCACAAATCATTATCATCCACAACAAAGAACCACCATAAATTCCACAAGCAGAGAACATTAACAGAAGTACATAGAAAGAACAAAGCAAAACAACACAAGTTTATGCAGCATCGGAGGTTACAACACCACCACAAACAACACACTTAGAAACATTTCAAATTGCCTACAGCTAGACATAGACATATCCCTTTATTTCCAATCGAGTGGGGTACATTTCAGACCGCGGTCCCTGTGACCCCAGCTTTAGGTCTCGCCTCAGTCCCTGTTGGGCCCACGCCGTAATCCGGGTCCCTGTAACCCGGCCCATATCTGCTGCTAAAAAACCCGGCATGGAGCAGCAACACATACAGCAGCTGGGTGAAACCAAGTATTACGACAAAAGCCTCGAGCACCCTCAATCGCCATCCTCTCCATCCTCCTATGTTTATTTCCTTGCAAGCCAAACTGAGGAACATAAAGTCACATCACCACTAAGCTAAACATTAGTTCAAAACTTAATAATAAAGTTGCAGTCCAGGCTGATTTAATAGTTTTGTGTAATCAGCTACAGTAAAAAGCTATGTCTTTTCTACTTGATCCAAAATTACAGTCAATTTACGTCCTGCATCTATATGTAATTTCTTTCTATAGCAACACAAGTTACCTTACCTTAAATTATAAACACAGTCGTACCACTTTCACGTACATTAAATACATCCATATAATTAATATCAGATTCTAAACATTTGAACTATCAATTTTTCAAATCCGAAAGCCGTCACATGTAAGTATTCGATTTTATTGAAAACAATATTGTGAATAATATGGTTGACCCGCAAAATTTCAATTTTGGTCAGTTTACCATATATTGCAATTTGTATCACTTTTGGGACATTACTCCTAATAAATTTTATGAATGTGGACATTAATCCCAAAAAATAATGAACCATTTTTTGAATTAATGTACCAATAATGGTACAAATTGGGATATTATTGATGACAGGAAAGTTAGTATACTAAAAATGGACTTTACACAACTAAACAGACCAAAATTAAATTTTCGCCCTATCTACATAGTCTTTACTTTTGTTATTAATCGAACCAACTCACCCGAAAGCAAGTGCAGTGACGGCCCACGCAACTATGGAAGACGAGCCAGCAGCTGCAAGGCTATCGTTCCTCCAAGCCCGGAGATGGTTGCCGCCAGCTATCTTGGACACTATCCCGAGAACAGCGGCCAATATTGAAAACGTTAAGAAGTAACCAGTTGCCCCATTTCCTCCCATGCCTGTACAGAGATATATAACATCACATATCAGTTAGTTTAAGCAATGGAAAAACTAACTCTTGGGACTTGCAATAAATAGAATTGAAGCAGATTTGAGAGAGGAAACTTACTCGGATGAGCAGTTTGGCCATTGATGTACCTATTCAAACACCAGCTCGAAAAACCCAACACTATGAAATACATAATCAGGTTGATCAACAGAAGTGGTGCTGCTAGATTTCTTGCTACAGTTCTTGCCATTTTTTTTTTTTTTTTCTAAGATAAATCTAGACTTTATTTTTATTTTTTGAGAAACAAGACTGACGACCCTTATACACTTGACGCTCTTTGTATTAAGATTGGTGCCGTGAATTGTGATTTATTCTGCTATTTATGGACTTGCTTTGCGGATTTACGATGCGGCATGCATGTAGCTCTAGCTTACACGTGTTGCAACACGTGTCGGTATCTGCCGAGTGTATCCATTATTTTATTATGAATGATTATGATATGATATATATCAAATGTGTTCTAGATAATTTCGCGTGTGTTTGGATGTATATCCGTTGGATGTGTATAGAACAGTTGATATGCGGCTCCATTTTAATTGGATATATTTGCAGTAACAAATTCTTGAAATTGTTTGAATTGTGTGGGCATCTTTAAAACGCATATGTTAATTAATTACTATAACAATTGTTGAATTAAGATAAATAAGTGTTTGTAAGATAAATCAAAAAAGGTAAAATTGCATTTTGTTCTCTGTAATGGGTATAGTGTAACATATGTGGACAGTTTTTTTTCATTTGGCAAAATAGGAGAGCTCACTTGTTAAAACTTGAAATTCGTACTCAATTTTCCCTATAAGTTACGAAATTTCACCAGGAGGTGCTAATTCATCCTCGATTTAATTTGTGCCTAAATAGACTTGATATCTTCTTGTACCAAAGGACAACTATTTAGCTTGTGCCTGCTTTTGTGCCTAAATAAAAAGGAACAGTTTGATTCCTTTGTTGTTGTTGTCGTTGTTGTTTCTTATCATGATTATAGTGTGTTCTCTTTCAAGTTTTAATGTGTTGAGATAATCTTGCTTGTGTTTTTTTAAACGATTATATAGTGTTTGGTGTGTAGTTAATTCATAAAATATACTCACCAAATTTATTTAAAAAATAAAATAAAATGTCATACATAGAGTTTGTCTGTTTCATGGACACACAACATCACACTCTAGAACAGCATGGAAAAACAAGTTGTGAAAGATGATGATAATAGAAACAAGTTACAAGAAAACTAGTAATCCTCTCTCTATATTTCTTTTCCAAGGCTAAATTTGGAGAATTCTGCAGATATCCAAGCAATTGAATTATGTTTCCTTTTCTTGCCAATGTAAAGCAAGCACAGCACATATGTGCTTTCTGATAACAGGACGCAAAATGCATGCTAGATCATATTAAATCGGTGTGCAAACAATGTCACCAAGAAGCAGATCCAAATCAAACTACACAATGGGAATTTTTTAAATTTGCTCATCAGAAGGCAGGAAAAAGCATTGAGCTTTGGCTCTCACAGCATAATTCTTTGTCCAACAAATGTAAATGAAACCCAACTATGCACGTCTAATGATCATTGCATTATTACCTAATTAGACGTCTTTATTCCGAGTACTCGATCAGAAAATAGCAAAAAAAAAAAAAGGGAATAGTCGGCAGCCAGAAGGGCTATGTACTTTGACCGGAAATTTTCGAGCGAAGATTGTATGCAGGTAAATCGTAAATGAGTGGATAGATTTTCATCAGAAATGTGTCAGCTTGTAGTAGCAGTTGTTTCCAGAGAGCAAAATCTGATAAACGGTTCCACACGGACACTTGAAATGGAGGACCAAGCATTCTCCTTTCTTTTCGACCCAAACAGCTTCTTGTGATGGATTTTCCACTTCATCATTTTCAGGTCCCTCCTGCAATATTAATATTTAAATCAATATATTCATGTTTACAGAAAACAGCATTCACATAAAGGATTTTAAGAACAAGAGCTGGTTACTAAATTTCATCAGATAGCTAGCAAATGATGTGGTTCACCTGAACATGATCAATCATCATCAAGATGGCCATGAAGTGCACCACTAAAAAGTTAATTACAGAAAGATATTGTTGAGGTTCAATATAATTAATGAAAAAGCAAATGGCTCGTACGGCTACATGACCAAGAACAGTTACCAAGATCCATCATAATACAAACAAGTCACCTACTTTGCCTGACTATGATATAGGAATTCTTAAGCAAACGCTAATCATGAACCATTCAAACAGATTTTATATCAATAAACAAAATTCAGGATTGTTTAAGAAAATCAGAGATCAACTGCACCGAAATTTAAATTCCCAAAAGGACTGTATGAGTACTGAACAGAGGATTAGAACCAAACAGATGTACACAAACACACACAGACAAGAAAAGCAACAAATTAAGTGGGAAAAAAAAAAAATTAGAGATAGTTAGGACCTTTTGAATGTTTTCAGTAAAGTCATTTTCAGATTCATCATCATCTTCCTCATCTTCATGCACCACCTGATTCCACCACTGACTCATTTCTTTCAGGCGCTCCTTCATCCTCCTCAGTCTCTGCAATTACGTATATACATAACAATTACCAGGCCAATTTCGCATTAAATAAGATAAACAATCAGATCAAGCAGTAAGAAAACAATTTATATTTATTATTGAGATTTAATTAAACTTGAAACAGGGAAACCGACTTTAGTACTAGGGCTCTCCGCACAGCTCGGAGACCTCTGATTATTTCTCGCCAGAGGAGGACGACGCGAATACGGCGGCGTGCCGCCGGCCGCCACCACTTGGTGGTTGGCGAGGGGACTGGGATCGGAAACTGTGCGGTGGACAACTGGCGGGGCATTTGGAAGAGGAAGCGAATCTTGAAGAACGTTGTTCGGGTTAGGGTTTTCTTGCGGCGGGTTCGAAAACGGGTCTGATTGAAAGGGAAATTCCGATTGCGCCGGCGGAGCTGAAGGATTGATGTCGTCGGCGGTGTGTATGGGCTCGGAGACCGTACGGCGGAGAGGAGGCGAAGAGGCGACGGCGGGGAAAGGGTGTGGGAATGGGAGCCTCGTGAACCCGAAGAGGTCGCATTCATCTGCGACGGCGGTTACGTCTTCGGCGGCCGCGGTGGAAGGCGATGAAGGGTAGTGGAGGGAGGCCTTCTTGGAAACCGGCTCTTGAAAGGACGACGGGGACAGCGGGGACTGTCTTTTGGAGGAGTTGACGTATGCAGTGGTGGTGTATGCATCCGGTGCGCCAGAGGTAGCGGCGGCGGTGTTGGGATGGTGGTGGCGGTGTCGATGGCGGTGGCCGTGGCGGTGGGAGGCCGCGGTGGAGAGGTGGTACATGGACCTGCAGATGCTGTCTTCCTCTTGGAATTCTTGGGAGAATTTCAGTTCTTGCTCGCTCATCTTTCTCTGTGTTCTATCTCTCTCACGGTTGAGCGGAATTTTTTCTGGTGTGAAATTGAGCTGAAATGTGAAGATGGAAGAAGAGGGAGAAAGGTGAAGCTCCAAAGAAGTACTGGCGGGCGGTTCGTGTAAATGAGCAGATGACAAATGAGAATTAGACACGTTTACATAAAAGAATCAGGGGCAATTGATTATTTTCAAATGTATATAACCAGGCGGAACTATATTTCTTATTAGAGGGTGCAAAAAATAGATATATACAACCAAAAGTGTAAGAAAAATGTTCGCTAGTTATTCGAATTGGATTTTTGCAACCCGTTAACGAATAAATTGATCCTGAGTTAAAAAATAGTTTATTTAATTGAATATAAACTGAGTTTTTTGAAACTTATACGAGAAGTAAAATAGAGTACACGAAATATGTTTGAACACCAAAAGACAAAGCGGAAGCAAGCAACTTAAAAATCTCTTCGGAAGCGTCTCACTATCTCTTAAAGCTCTTTCACTAATAGACTGATTTGCACGCATAAAGTACAGCATATGCTTACGAGATTCGAACTCCTTTCTAGTCTAGTCAACACTATACCCAACTCAAATAACTAATCTTCTGGCCATAAACTTGGATTTCACAATAGCTGTGGAACCCTCCCACCTACACTAATACTTAATCCTTAAGCACAAAAAGTATTTATTAAAAAGAAAAGTAAACTCAGTTCTTCTGTAGTTTAAGAATACTGAAAAGCTGAATACAATGAAACTCGAAAAACAAAGCTAACGAACACTCAATGAAGTCTATGAATATAGTAAACTATTAATATGCAACAACCTTCCATTGAGTCTTTGTGTATGTATATATATACAATCTCCTCAAGGTAAGGAGTCTTTAATCATCTTTCCTCTTGGAGGTGGTTTCCTTCCTTATTTAAATCCTCAAATATGGTCGAGGTTTTCCAACGATAGATATGATATCTTCATGTGCAATCTTGATCGACAAGCTCCTTATTTTTCTTAAGTACAGGATCTCCTACAAATAATCCAAGACAAATATTATGGTAAAAACTATGTATTATTAGAGTATCTCCAATGGTCAAATGTTGTTGTGGTAAATTACATTCCACATCAACACATTTAATAAATACACCATTTTTTCATCTTCAATGTAGAATGTGATCACAAATGTTGTGATGATGTGGACTTAATTAATGTCTACAATGTATAAGAGAATGTGATTCATTCAAATTCTCCTCTACGCTCTAGCTAACCAATGAAGAAAAGAGAGAGAAATTTTCTTACCAGTTCTAAGTTATCTAATTATTTAATTAATTTTATTTTTTATTTTTAAAATTTTTAATATATGATAAGTACATAATATTGTAGTTAGACTATATTGTGCATTAGAGAGAATTTTTTATTTTCACAGTTGTAGACTTAACATTTTTCTTACATGATACGCATTCCATTTAATTTATTGACATTTGTCAAAATTTATTCTACTACAACATTAAAGCATTGGAGATTCTATATACTAAAAGTAAATATATATAATATACTTGCCATACATAAGAATATGGTATCTAGGGCTTAATTAAATATATGTGAGAGAGAGAGAGAGAGATATATCTTACCTTTTTATTTTTCTTGCTTGTTAGAACATCAAGATATTATTTTGGAACTTCTTGCCAAATATAAATCTAACAATCTCGCCCTTTGGCATTCAGTTCAAAAATCATATCTTGAAGATGACCTACAACACAAGTTTAAGAAACAACAAGCAAACAAATAACCATGTTCAAACAGAAGAGTTATATTGCATCTCAGAATTTTGCTTTAGAGTCATCGGATGGTACGAGAGTTATCCACACTTATTCACAAATAGTATATTGCCACGTGTCCTACAATAAATATATATTTTTTTTTGGACATGTGTTAATACATTAAGTGATGGATGGTTCCATAGAATTTCTGTCACATCTCATCCTGCAAAGTTAGAACATCAATCAAACAAATAAAATACAATTACAACAAAGACAAAATAGTCATTCACACTAGACACAATAAATAAGGTTAGTTGGGGAGATATTCATAACAGTTATTTTATTTATATTTTTTAGGGAAAAAATTACTTATGATACCCCAAATATACCACATTTCTCTTTTGGTACCCGAGATACCAATTTAATCAGTTTTGATCATTAAAGTTTTCAAAAATAATCGCTTTTGATCCAAACATTAGAAAAACATAAAATTTGATGGCTATCGCCTTCCGCCGCCCGTTGGCGCTGCTTCCAGTGACAGATTTCAACAAATCATATGCTATTTTTAAGCTCCAGACTCGATCTATTCAATTTTACCTTTTATTTCATCATACAACATCTCAAAGTTTGTCTAACGTTGTTAAAGATTCAATAACTTTTTGGATGAAATACGCTTTAAAATTTGACAGAGTTTTGCGAAAGATTCAACTGTTGGATTTTCATAAACAAGTATACATATAGAAAACCAATTTTTTCAGGAATCCAAATGTGTATTACAACCATCAATCGTGTTTCTTAATCGCCGGATATAAGCAGATAAAAATTTCTAGTTTCCTAGCCGCAACAACTCGTTCGAAAGCTGGAAACTTTATCGGCTTATATCTGGCATCGAGAGACTTGATTGATGATCAGACTACACCTTTGGATTTCTAAAGAAATTGCTATAATTTACATATGTTTTTTTATAAAAATTCAAAATTTAGATCTTTAGCAGAATTTTGTCAAACTTTAAGGGGTATTTCGTCCAAAATACTTTTGAATTGTTTGTGATAATTTGACGAACTTCGAGATATCGTGTAATGAAATAAAAGGTACGTTTGGATAAGTTGAGTTGAGAACGATATCGTGTAATGAAATAAAAGGTACGTTTGGATAAGTTGAGTTGAGAACTTTATAATTGTATGTGATTTATTGAAATTCATCGCCACGGCTGCAGCAGGCGGCGACCGTCCAATTTAATTGTTTTTTTAAACATTTGGACAAAAAATAACTAATTTTGATAACTTTATTAATGAAAACTGATTACATTAGCGAAAAAATAGTATATTTTGGGTAGCAGGAGTTATTTTTTCCCCTTTTTGATACCATAAATATTGACCGACGAGTATCAGAATGAAAAGAAAAAAAAAAAAAAAAATTAGTTCCATCAATGTAGCTGTACATTATTTTTCACTGCGCACAAAAATGTTAAAATAATTCAAACACAGCTGGATTTTAACCTGCTTCATTAACCTACCCGTTCTAGAAGCACTGATAGCCGCCGCAAGAAAAATCAGGCGTAGATAGAAATCAAGAGAAGTACTGTCGTATTCTTTCTGCCCATAAACAACCACCTCTTTTGTTTTTGATTTACCACAGAACACAAGATAATCTGTTGAGCTCCCATGGCTTGCTCTCCTCTCTCTCCAAGCTCTTTTCTCTTTGTCGACAAGGTATCTCTTTCTGTTCAGCACTATCTATGCGTGCTTCCCCTTTGATTTTGTTTTCTTCACCAATAACCATTTTCAATTTTATTTTTCCAGAAAGATGTTGGCTTTTCAGCTGTTCATTCACAGGCGGCCTTGCTCCCCTTTCCGCCTCTGGGTTCTAAGAGACGCCCCTCCAAGAAAATAGTTTCTGTGATGGCACCCCAGCAATCGGAGCGTAGGCCGTCAACAACCGGCGCTGTAATTACGAATCTTTTTATCCAAAGTTCAGATTTAGCTACGTGAATTAGCTCTTGTTCAGTAAATTAGTGAAAATTTGTGCGTGTGTGTGTTTTTTTTTTCTCAGGTGAAGACTGGAATGACCATGACTGAAAAGATACTTGCAAGGGCTTCCGAGAAAACCCAGTTAAGTCCTGGTGAGAATGTATGGGTCAATGTGGATGTTTTGATGACTCACGATGTCTGTGGCCCAGGTGCCATTGGGATCTTCAAGAGAGAGTTTGGAGAAGATGCAAAGGTACCTTTGGATCGAGCAGATTTTGCATATGGTTAACGAAATTTATGGGGTTCATAATCGATGCTGTGGTGCTGTTCTTCTTTATTTGATGATGAACTGTGCATTTTTTGAAGATTGATAGAACCGTTGTTGCATCAAAAATTACAACCTGTGATGTTGTTTGTAGATAGCTCCTCTTGTTACCACTTTGTCTCTCATGTAAAACTGGAGCTGTTAAGGACACGTTTGGAGATCTTCAGTATTTCAACTATACTTTAATCTGAGTTTAAATTGTTCGACTTTATTTGCTTGCATAAAAAGTTCCGACAATATCCAATTATTATTTTTGTCCTGTAAGATCCTGTGTTGTTGGAAAATGCCAAAAGTATTAAGCCTGCATAGCTGTACTGATTGTTCTGTAGTTGACATGTTTTGGTTGATATTATTACACCAAATAGGTACTCCCACAGTGGTAAGCTTCATGGCCTTATACAATGGCGAGAACAGATAAAATGTTTTCAACTGCTTAATATGTATTAATTGCATCTGTAGCCTTCTCTTTTAGTCCTGTCCATGTGAACAATTTTATTTTGAATCCTAGAGATACTCTAGTCGTCCCTTTGAAGCACCAAGATGGCTTGCAATCTTTTCCACACTTGCAGATATAATTAATCTGTGTTAGAGATAGAAGTTCACCAATAAACCTATATCTGAATATTTATATTTAATTATGAATGGAATCGAGGAAGTTAATCCTTGTGTTTATTTTGAAATCAGGTTGATTTATGGAATTATTCGGACTTGTTGTTTTTGATGGCAATTCACTTACATATTTTATGGTTTCAAAATATTGGAGATTAGATTTTCATGCTAGTAAGTCTTGAGGTTACCAGCATGAGCTGAACATAAGGATTCAATGATGCTTGGTTGCTACATTTGTAAAGTAATTTTACATGTAAAATAAGCTCATTGAATCAATGCGTAGACTTAGTCCGAACCTGAGATACTAATATAACCTCTTAAAGTCTTACTGGGTTCTTGAAGGCCAAATCTACTGATGCGATGATTTTCTCACGTGTCAAAGAAAGGCTCAGTGAAAATCCTATGCTAAGTTGTGATCTTTATGTAGATTAATTTTTCTCCTATATGTATTTGCGAAGCCTTTTTATATATGTTGTTGGATTCTGCACCTTGTTGATTTTATCAATGGAATACTACTTTCCCTTTTGTACTGCAGGGATAATTTAATCTGTGAGTGGGTCTTAAAACATATTGCTGTTCTATTTTACTATTGTAGGTCTGGGACCGTGAAAAGGTTGTAATAATTCCAGATCACTATATATTCACTGCTGATGAAAGAGCAAATCGCAATGTCGACATCCTGAGGGATTTCTGTAATGATCAAAATATTAAGTACTTCTATGACATTAAAGATCTTGGGAACTTCAAGGTTGGCTATATCATTTGATTTGGATGCTAATGTTCCAGTTCTAGTGTGTATTGCTGTCTGCTAGAGATCTTAATCTGTTGCGCTTGCATTACAGGCCAATCCAGATTACAAAGGTGTGTGCCATGTGGCTCTTGCACAAGAAGGTCATTGCAGACCTGGAGAGGTAGGTATTCATTGGTTATTAGAGTTTTGGAAATGCTATTTTCATATTTATTGGGTGATTAGAATTTTGGAAACTCAACTTTCCTTTTCTCTTTTGTTTTTCTATTTTTTGTTCTTCTTCTTCTTCTTCTCTTTTTTTTTTTTTTTTTTTT